CTTTTTTCGTTTCTGTTGGTTGTTGTTGAGACAGGGTCTTTCTATATAGTCCTGGCTGTCCTAGAACTCATGTAGAACAGACTGGCTCAAATTCAGAGATCCACCTGCCTCTGCTTCCTGAGTGAGGAATTAAAGGTGTGTACTACTATGCCTGGCAAGTTCTTGGTTCTTGAGTTGAGTAGGCCTATGAGATGCTTCAGCAGTAAAGGCTTGCTGGGCAAGCCTAGTGGCTGAGCTGGATCCCTGGAGCCATATAAAAGTAGAAGGAGAAAACTGTCTACACAAAGTAGTCCTCCGACCATGGCACAGGCATGCAACACCTCCTCACTAAAAATAAACTAAACTTTAAAAGAATTTAAGAAAGGCACTAGTCAGGGAAGAACAGGCTCTATCAATACGAATGGGGGCCACCCACCCTAAATTCCTCTTATCCGGCCACCTGACCCACAGTCCTAAGCTTCCAGTGCAGTTGTGAAGGGTGGCACTGAGATTCAGCCCACTCTCTTCCAAGAGCCTTGTCAGTTTAGACAACACAGGCATGCTGGGGCACTCTTTGTGTTGCAGGCCGACTACTAGAGTGGCAGGGGTTGAAGACTGAGCACCCAGGGGCTGGGGAATCTAGGTAAATGAGGAGGTAAACAGTTTTATCAGCTGAGTAGGCCGGAGGCAGCCTGTTTTGCTATGCTTTTGTGGAAGACAGGTCCCAGACACTCCAGGCTCTCACCCTCTCACCTGCAGCTCTCCTTACCTGCAGCTGTAGATGTCATTGATCTGATAGTGCTTGTTGAATGCCACAGCCTCCATACTGTCTGTGAGTGGTCCATCCAGCACCCGGATACCTAGGCATTGAAGGTACACCAGCTCCTCACTGATGCTTGTCCCACAAGAAACTAGAAATAGTGCACATTCTCCAAGGGGGGTGCCAGGTGGCAGGGAGGTATGTGTGGAAAACTTACTTTTTCCTCTATGTTCTTTTGTACTTTTGTGTACAACATATACATATATATGTATACAACATATACAACACACAGGAGTGTGAACACATTAGTGTGCATATGTACATAAATGTGTGTGTGGAGGCAAAAGGGTCTATCTAGGTATCATTCTCAGAACCCTTGCTGTTTTTGACACAGGGTCTCTCACTGGGACCCAGAGCTTGCCAATTAAGTTAGGCTGGCCGGCCAGTGAGCCCTGGGAATTCATCTCTCTCTGTCTTCCCAGTGCTGGAATTACAAAAGCACCCGATCGTCTCCAGCTTTTTACCCAGGTCCAGGGATTGAACTCAGGTGCTCACGCTTGCATGACAAGCACTTTATAGAGCTGCACACCAAACCCTCTTTTGTAGTTTGGATTCTTACATGAGAGATATATATATATTTCAAAAATATTTTTTGTTTTTTTTTTTTTAAAGACAGGATATCAGAAAGCACAGGTTTGCCTTAAACTTACTACACAGCAGAGGATGAACCCCTAAACCTCCCGCCTCTACTTCCCACATTCTGGGATTTTGAACAGGCAGGTATATAGCACCATGCCTAGCTTTCAAAAGTGTCTTTTCCGATCATGCTTGAACTCAGATCTAATGCTCCTGAGAGGTGGGAAGCACTAGGCTAGAATGGAGGTCGGTCATCCAAGATTTCCCTTAGCTTGGCATTTCATATGAAACACCTATTGTCTCGACACAATACAGAAATTCAGTGAGTAGCACTCATTATCTTTGCTACCCCCAGGGATGCTCAAGTTCTCCCTCAAAAATGGAGTGGGCCACAGTGTGGTGACAAGTTAAGGACAAATGGGAATACAGAAGGGGCTTGGACCCTGAAGGTTTCTAGCCTCTTCTGCAGTCTCATTTGCAGAGTGCTGAGGCCCCCTGCTGGGGAACATGAGGGTTACAGGCAGCCTTCCTTCTGGGGCTGTAAGTTCCCAGGCTTTCGTCAGGATTCAGGGGTAGTGCTCATCCTTTCCCCTTGATTCACAAGACTGAGAGATGAAAGGACACAGAACTACCTCGGCTGGAGACTAGGTTCTCTTGAGAGAATGGAGAGCAGGGGACTGGAGAAGTGGGACTGAGAGAGCCGCCTCCATAGATGAGTCATGGAAGGCGGCAAACTGATGAGAAGGCTCTTCATAGACTAGGAAAACACTAGCAGAGCATGGTCAAGTTGCAGGAGTTGTTACAGTGATGTGGGTCACTGTTGAGTTCAGCCATGATCAGAAACGGGAAGGAGACTTGAGCAGGTGCAGCTTGGGCCCTCCAGCCCACAACACAAGCATTTCCACATTTACCTGTTTTATACTGTAAAATAAATACTCTTGCTAAAAAGCCCATTTGAAATACCACAGCCAGCTGGCAGTAGTGGCGCATGCCTTTAATCCCAGCACTTGGGAGGCAGAGGCAGGTGGATCTTTTTGAGTTCGAGGTCAGCCTGGTCTACAAAGACAGTTCCAGGACAACTAGGACTACACAGAGAATCCATGTCTGGGCGGGGGAGCAGAATACCACAGCCATAAAAGTCAATGAATTAGTTAACTTGTTATGCTCTTATGCCTTATTCTAGGCTACAGACATTGACGGGAAAAAGAAATTTCAGAATGGAGAAGAGGGTAGAGGATGACCATTGTGTCCCAGGAGCTCCCCAAAGATAGAGGAAGCGTAAGTTACCTGCTATTCGGCTCCCATAGGCCACACCCACTGCACAGAAGCTGTTGTTGGGCACAGCTGCAATTTCTCCTGCACACCGGGTCCCATGGTGGTTACCATTCTCCGCATCAGGGTGGGGCATAGGATCTGGGTCATTAGAGTTGAGGTCATAGCTACCCTCTGGGCTCTGAAACATCGAGGGGTCAACAAGTGGTCACTTACTGGTTAGAATGGGTCAGTTACTATCAGGAACTGTCAGGGAGAACAAGGAACTGGGAGTTTCCACATCTAAGTCAGAGTTAGCAAGTCCATCACCTTGAGCAAACAAGGGTTATGAGATATGAGCCAAGGACACTGGGGAAAAAGTGAGAGGGCCAAGGCTTGCCAGTATAGGACTGTGCCCACTGCTGGGGGGAAACCCGTGATAAAAGAGATTCCAGATTCTCTAAAGACACACCTTAGCCAGAAGTTTTCAGAACCTCTGAAGAGAAAGCAGGTGCCTATAAGGCCACTCCCTGCTCCCCAGGGAAGAAGCAGCAACAACAGGAAGCAGGAAGCATTGCCTGGAAAGTCACCTTCTGGCCTTAACTGCCAGTGTGGAAAGCTGACTGAGAAAGGAGAGGGAACAACACTACCCCCTCCCAGGCTGTTTGGCTTGGCTCAACCCCTTCTAGGGAAGGCAACAAAAGGGAGGCAACACCAAAGAGAAGGAGCAACGTGGCAGCAAGGGGTCATTCCAGGCCACTCACATAGTTGGGTGCAATGTCCTGGACGGTGTGCTCCACTCCATCGTCCACCACCACCACTGTCACCCCTCGCCCAGTTACATTTCGCTCCCACACACCTGTCACATTGATGTCTCTGCCTGGGCTCCGTCGATTGTTCTGTAGGAGAGACAGAGAGACCCAGGGACACACAGCTCGGCCAAGAGGTACAACGTAAAGCTAGCCCTTCCTTTGGCTTCTACCGAAGAGCCAAACAGAGGCTATAGACCAAGAGGTTAGTGGGGAACAGAGCCTGGAATGGACAGTAGAGTCCTTCCCCTCCATTCCTTGGTCTCCAAGAAGGTTTTTGCCATCATTTGTGGGTGACTCGGGGTGAAATGGCTGCTAGGGCTAAGTGGTAATTAGTACACAATAAGGTTAGCAGCTAGCGTATACCTAACAGGGTCTACCATGTGTAAAACACCTTTTCTAAGTGTTTCACATCTACTCATTTTAACGGTAACTCTCTGAGTATACTTTATAGGGTGCACGGAGAGGTGAGGCAGCCCGGCCAAAGGCAAGCGAGCGCTGGAAAGTAGAGGCTAAAATAGAAGCCCAGGTCCAGGGCCACAGAGAGCGCATACACCCTCAGCACCGCACTGCTCTGCACAGCGGACAGGGAGGGTGTGGACTAAGAGCAAAGTTGACTCCCAGCCCACAGACACGGCCCCGCCCTCAGTCAAAGCACTCTAGAGCAGCCCCCGTCTACCTGACTGCACTTACCAGGTGCCACTGCTGCGGATACTTGGGATCATTGAAGTGGATGCTGCGCTTGGCCCGCTTCAGCAGCCTCTGCTCTGAATGCCAGCGCACAGCTGCGTGCCTGGCTAACACAGCCTCTGCCTGCTGTCGCATGGCCTCCACCTCCATGGCTTGCCTGTGCCCAGCGGGCTGGACAAAGAGGTAGTGCCCCTGAAGCTCTCCAATGCGCCCAGCATTCACCAGGCCTGCTGCCCGGGCCACGGCGTCTGCCTGCTGTGTCAGACTCTCTTCCTTCCTCTCTCCTAGGTTGTCCAGATGCACGGCCCAGCTTAGCCCCCCTGCACCCAAGGGGTCAAGCCCACCTGCCTCTGACAGGCCCATGACCCAGGGAACCATAAAGAAGAGCCCGGCTAATTCCAGCCAGAGGCAGATGGGCAGGCCCAGGGGGGCATCCAAGTGTAGGACTTTCTGCCTCCCTTTCGGCATCAGAACAGCAGGCTGCAGACAAAGGGAAAGGACATCAGCAAAGAAAGAGGCAGAAACTGCAGGAATCTCAGGAGTGACTGTGGTCTGTCAGTGTGTTCCCCTTGGAAAGCCCAACCTACTTCCTTCAAGTGATTAGTCATTTGATATTCATAGTCTCTCCCTCCCCCACCAACTACATTTGCCTCTAATTAAGATGTTAACCCCAAGCTGGAGTATGAGCCAGGGCTAACCCCAGTGGATGACCTCCCATGGCACAACGGACCATCCCTGCTAGCCTGGCATCACCCAGGTGCTCATGGGCTTCAGGCTGTTCACTCGGGGTATTCAAAGTACACATCACTCCCGGGACTGACAGCATCAGGAGCTCACCTCCCTCTTTTTGACAGGACCTCACCACGTAGCTCTGGCTGTCCTGAAACTCACCATGTAGACCGGACTGGCCTCAAACTCAGAGAGATCTGCCTGCCTCTGCCTACTACAGGTGTGTGCCACCACACCCAGCTCCACCTCCCTCTAATTATTTAGAGACCACATAATCTTTTCCCCAGCTGACTTCTGACTCCCACCATGGGGCCCCATTCCTACCTGGGCTCTCTGCGAAGTTTAGGTCTTGGTCTGGGTAACCACGTCACATTCATTTTGTGAAACTGGAGGAAAGATGTCACCTTCACTGTGAGCAGTATTGACTGGGAGCACAAGCTGCAGACCTGTGGGCCCCAAGATCAGGGGAAAAAGGTGTCTCACCAAAGTCAGCAAAGCAGGAGCTATGGTGAAGGCCAGGACTGACAGGTGACCTAATGTGAAGTATCCTTTCCAGGGGTCTGAGTCACGGACTGGAAGGGCCCCGTCACAAGGCCACATCAGTACAAAGCCCCGCTACCCCACTTCTTGACCTAGCACGTCATTCTCTTCTCAGTTGCTTCTCTAAAAGCTTAGCAGGACTTAAACACTAGCATCCTGTTACCAGGAAACTGGCAGTCCGGCCCCCAGCAGCCCAGGTGGGGAAGGAGGGCGAGAGCGGAGAACAGAACTTAACAGGCAGAAATGCACGCGTGGAAATGACCGGCAAGAAGGACTGGAGAGCTGTCCCTGTCTCTCCGGGGTGGCTTTTCAGTGAGCGCACATGCTCCACCATGATTTCAACCACTCAGAGGAGAACGGCCAAAGCAGAACGAGTGAGCAACTGTGGGTTTAAGGAACAAGGCCCGTGTGGGCGCCTGAGCTCCCTGAGAAGCCACTGCTGCTACTGAGCCCATCCTGGAGCAGTCTTAGTACCCAGACACACACTAGATGGGGCCAACTTAAAACATTCTAGAAAAGGTCTTCTGTCCTACCAAAGACTCCTTGGAAAGGGAGAGAAATTATGTCACCAAGCACTCCTCTTCCCAAATTTTCCATTAATGGAGCTTATTCCTCTCCCTTGATTTTCTGTATTTTTTTTTTTTTTGTGTGTGTGTGTGTGTGTTTAAACAGGGTTTCTTTATATAAACATCTGAGAACCCATGATCCTCTTGCTTCTATCTCTTTACTGCTGTGGTTACATGTGTGGGACATTATGCCCTTAAGTTCTCGGGCATCCTCCCTCTTACATTCCTCCCTGCCCCTGAGTTGCTTCGATTCTCCTAGGCTATCCAGGTGTCTTCTTCCCTAGTCTGCATGTAAGTAAATCCAGACTCTGGTTAGCTAGCACTCACTCATTCACCCAGGCAGGCTCCTACAGTCTATGTAGGTTCCCCTACAGATTTCTGGAAGAGAACCCGAGCTTTCCTGTCGCCCTGGGGCACACAGCAGCACTTATTCTCAAGGTTTCCGGGCAAGAAATCTTAAGTACTTTGCGAGAGCGGGCCCCCGTCCCCTCAACTGCTGGGCCTATCAAAACAGCATTTAGTTCTCAAGGGAGAAGGGCATCTCCCTGTTCAGCCGCTGTCCTTCAAGCTCAAAGGAACCAGGTCGAGCCCAGAACCTCAGTTTCACGGGTGGCCCCTCCCAGCGGCCTCGGTTGCTGTGCAATGCGCCCCCCTCTCTTTAAGACCTATGCCGTCCGGAACCGAAGACCCGGAGGCCCCGTCCCGCTGGGGTCGCCCACGCCAGGTCCCAAGGTGCCCTGAGCGCAGCTCCTCCTCGGCAATGTGCCGAGCGCTCCAGCCCAGGACCACCCCGATTTCCGAGGTCCAGCCCGCTACACCTACTCCCCAACTCACCTACAGCCGCCGCCGCCTCCTCCTCCTCCTCCTCCTCCTCCTCCTCCTCCGCCGCCGCCTCCCTGCGGAAACTCGCGGCTTCCCGGGAGCCGGAGGAGCCACTGACAGCAACATCACTTCCGCCCGGCGCCGCAGCCAATCAGCGCCTGGGCCTGCGACCTGTCGCCCCGCAGCGCGCCGAGCACCGGGCGCTCGCTCGGGCCGACG